GCTGAAATACTCGGGTGTCAATAAAGGTCACCTGTCAACTTAGAGTGGTGCTTACAGATTACTTTGTGCGGCTATAAACTACCGTTAAATGGAATGATGAATTTTTGAAGGATTTTGAAAACGGAAAAAATAATAGTCATGCCGGCCCAGCATCATCAATGTTGAAAAATGCCCCGGCACGAAGTGGTTAAAAAAGTAGGTTGTGATGACCGTGCAAAAACAGTGCTGAAAATATACATGTACATGTGTGATACGATTTTGCCCAAACATCAATGCAGTGACAGTTGAAATACATGGTACGGTATCACTACCAGAGTAGTGATACCGCACAATCTGGGCTGTTTTTACAAGGCTACAGGCCTGGCTGAAATACTCGGGCTTCAATAGATTTTGTCTGTCAGGCTAGAGTTGCCACCAGACAGTAATTTTTGTGGGTGTAAACGTCCATTAAGCACTTCGTGCCGGGGCAATGTTCAATGTTGATGATGCTGGGCCAGCATGACTATCATTTTTTCCGTTTTCAAAACCTTTCAAAAATTCTTCATTTTATTTAACACAGCAACAGCCTCCTCATATTTCAGCAATCTCAAAAACGAGGATAAGGAGTTAGTAATTACCGAGTTGCAGAATTCTGTTGGCAAGGCTGACCAAATCCTTGGAAATGTATTAATTGCATCCAGATGTAGAGATCTAGCCTGCAAATGTTTAAACGTTAAAGCAGTATCATATCTGTGGTTAGTGATGATGTCCCTATTGACCGATTCACATTTAATTATATTAAACTGGCACTTGACAACAAATGAAATTATTAAACAATTACGGCGACATGATAAAGAAGACCATTTCAAAGCTGTAAGTTGGTCAGAGTTTGACATTTCACCAATTTGTTGACCTAGGATAAATTGGGTCACACACTTCTGGACACGCTCAAAAGCTTCCATCTGCATCTTAGTTGCTTGGGAGCCAAGCAGGTACTCCTTACTCCAACAGGGCAAGAACTAGGCTCTTATACAAGCATAATTTGGTGGGGACAGAAGAATTAAAAGCAACAGACTTAATTAGTCAGTGCATTCTGTAAGCACGGGAAACAACATTCTCAACGTGATCATTCATGTTAATTGGGAATTCAGAGTAACACTGAGATACTTTGTGCCGGGACGTGGCTAGAGCTGCCGTAAAAATTGAGATCCTCAGCCCACTTTTCAGCTATGATTCTCGGCCCGTGCTCGAGCGAACATGGTGAAAGAAGGCAGATCCTGGCTCTTGCATATATGGTAATTGGCCTTTGTGTGTAGCCCAGAAATGAAAAGACCTAATTTGCATCATAATCACCAGCTTCACAATAGTCCCCACTATGAAAAGAGGCAATGGGAATGTGGAAGCGTGAGTAGAGCCGCATGCCACCAAACAATCAGCCTTTTCACCGTGTAATTCAAAGGGTGTAGAGCACGCAGGGCCACAAACCGAGAAATTGTGGTTTGGCAGGTGGCCAAACGAGGCTTGAATTCTTGGAGTTGGCTTTTGGAAAGAAATTCCCATCGTCAAGGGGTTAAATGAACCAATGACTGACAATGGAGAATTACCAAGAGTATAAACAGGCAAACACAAATTACCTTTTCTAACAACATGCATTACCTTAGTAGAAAGTGGGTTTGCAGTAGCACCA